AACCACGGCTCCCCAAGTTTCCTCCATCTAGAATTTGAGCCAGTGATCTTTTTCCTGCATGGTCATTGCTCAAACTAAGAGAATCCGTAAGTTCTAGAAAGAGTTATATTCTATATTGGTCTTAGGAGAATAGGAAAGTCAGTTGGAGCTGCAGAAACCTTTTAAGAATATAAGAATTTTAGGGTGCAAAAGAGTCTTTTTCCTTGCTCAATTTAAATCTTGGAGCATCTCATTCCTCTTTTAATTAACCCGACTCCCCTTTGGCTCAACAGATCTGGTGAGTAGAGTTTTTGTGTTAGATTCACCAAGAGTTTGTGTGTGTGTGTGTGTGTGTGTGTGTGTGTGGTGCGCACATGCTGTTGTCCCTGTGGACGCAGTAACAACACCGTGTGGAAGGACCATCTTGTGCCCTGGATGTTTTCCCTGCATCAAACACGCAGAGACCTTCTAAGGCTGGGATGAGGCTGTGAACATGAAGGAGAGCGTGTGGCTCTCATGGAGGACCAAAGAGCAGCTGGCTCTTTAGGGCTTCTGGGAATTGCAGCAAGAGGTGTTTGGGGGATTTGTCTGTCTGGAGCCGAGGCATGAATATTCAGGACTTTCTTCTCCTGTGGATGGTAGGATGAAGCCAGCCACATCCATTTGCCTTTTTCCAATCCTGCATGTTTATTATCGCGGACCAACGGGCCCAGAGCACAAGTGAATTTAGAACAGGTATTAAAAGAAAATATGTGACGATTTTACTAGAAGAAGAAATCATGAGCCGAGGCCCTGATCATCTGCTGGCCTGGTGCACCTGCAGTCGGGCCTGGAGCATCTGCAGTCGGGCCTGGAGCATGGCTGCAGATCATCCTGCTTAGCTTCCCAAAGCTGGGCTGAAGTCTCAGCAGGCGGAAGCGGCTCCAGGGTTGGTCCTATTAAAATGCAAATCTCCCTCCTGTCAACCTGTCATCCCTTTCCCCACCCAAGCTTAGCATTCGATCAGGAATAAATTTAAGCCCTTCTCTGAGAGAGCAGAGTGGGGAGGGATGAGAGGAAGGCAGGGTGCTTCCACAGGGGCAGAGTGTGCAGAACTGGAAGGCCAGGCGGGAGCGACAAGTCCTCCACTTGGGACAGCGTGTCCATTACTGTCCCCCTGGACACAGACTTTGAATACTATCTGCTTCATCTCCTTCTACTCAGTCAACATCAGTGCTCTCTAGGGGCCTCCCTTGGGCCTCAGATTTGATGCCAACTCACACAGCCCCTCTGGAGCCCATGATTCTCTCTCTTCTGTGTAAAACGGGAATGGACCCTGTGGGTCCTCAGCTTGGAGCTGTCAGTGGATCCCCGCCCCCAGGCTCTGCAGACACCTGACGGCCAGTGGGCGCCTCTGCCCTGGTTTTCTGAATGTTAATACTGAGGTATGGTGGACTGGCTCAGCGGTCCTCAGGCAGTCCCCAGAACACATCTTGTTCCATGAGGCTGCGAGGAGAGGACAGGGTTGCTTTGGAACACTGATGCCTTACAGCGCCTTCCCCGCAGCCCAGGACAGGGGGCCACACGGAAGCCTGGAGGGAATGACAGGGAGGCGGGTGGGGAAGCAAAGACTCGGACACATGTTTTGCAAACTTGCACGTTTCTGCCTCAGAAGGCTGCGGGAAGGATAAGAAGACCTCAAAGGGGAAGACTTTCCCCAGTAAATTACTGTCATGCAATTGCTACGGTCTAGGTCTTTAATATCTCCCAGAGGCCCTTGGGTTGAAGGCTTTGTCACTAGTCTGTGGCACTTTGGGGAGGTGATGGAACACTTAAGAAATGGGGGAGGAAGTTAGGCCACTGGGGTCATGCCCCGGAAGGGATATTAGGTTCCCTGTCTCCTTCCCATCTCTCTTTTTACTTCCTGTCCACCATGACGTAAATAGCCTGCTCTGTCTCATGCTCCCCACCATGATGTTCTGTGCCACCACAGGCCCAAAGCAATAGGGCCAAATGACTGTGGACTGAAATCACTTAAACCTTTATTTCTATTAAATTGATGATCTCAGGGATTTTGTTACAGTGACTGAAATAGTTGAGGTCATTATTAGAATTGCCATTTTCTTTTCCATTTGATGATAGTCTGGGTTTGTTTGTTGTTTGTTAATTTCATTGAGGGAAAACTCATAGAGAGTCAACCATACACATGTTAAGTGTACAACTCAGCAAAGTTTTCCATTTATTCTCCCCATGTGCTGCTAACCAAGTCAAGATGTAGACTACTTCTAGCTTCTAGAAGTTTCCCTCCTGTTTCCTTCCACCTTTTCCCCACCCCCACCCCCTAGCAGGTCACCATTCCTCTCCCGCCATCACCATAGTAAGTTGTGCCTCTTTTTGAGTTTTACATGCATGTAATCCTATGTGAGTCACCTTTGTTTTCTGGGTCCCTTTTTGGGGTGATGTGTCCGCTCACCTGCCCTATGTGTCAT